AAATGAAACATTCATATTAAAATATACACAATATGATTAACTTTGTTATTACAATAAATTTGAATAATTGCATAAATTACAAAAATATTTATAAATTTGTTATTTTAAAATCACATTTTTAGAAAATCAGTGTTTTCGACTTTTTCAATTTTCATTTTGATAAAAAAACAATTATCAAATTAAACGTAAATTTCAATTATTTTGTTATAAAGACGGATTCGGAAATAATTTCAATAAGTATATAATCATAAAATGAACAAGTTTAATTCATGTTTTGTTATTTCCCGTCTCAAGTTCGCGAGATATAATTATTGTTTTTGTTTACTGATTATTGTGGCGATTTTTTGATTGTATTTATTTTTTTGGCATTTATGACAAATTATTACCATTATTTAAAATTCGAACTTTGACTCGAAATATAAAGTGTAAATTATAACTTGAGTTATGAAAGTGGGTCTTATGGGGAACTGAACCTTATGGATTTGATTTTTGTATCCTCAGAAAAAAATTTTTAATAACGATAGCTTTGATCCCGAGGATGCACCTTATCCTCAAGATACCCTTTAAGATAATTTTTTCACACTGTTTTGTGTTTTTTATTATGAGCAAGGAAGTTTTTTAATTTGTTCTTGTAATTCTTTGAAGTCGCTTTTTTGTATTTTTAACTATTTTTAAAACAATAAGAAATTACACCTTTAGTGTTTTTAATTAATTTTATCTTCGATTTTTGGTAGTGAAAAAAATTGTCTCTGCATTTTGATAAAACCCAAAAAAATTCAGCAAAATCATATATTGGTCATACAGAACCTAGATATAATCACAACAGTTTAATCCAATTCAAACCCAATTAGTTTTCTTTTTTTTGAAAAATAATCAAAAAAAAGAAAAGAAAAAAACTAAAATGTTTAACATCTGCTCCATCCACAATCGATATACACGCTGTTTTATTCGTTCTGTATGACAATTGGAATTCTGGAATTTTTATACTTTTTAATTAAACAAGCAGTTGAACTTATCATTTAAATATCGAGTTATATTTTATGTTGATTTATAACCTAATTCTACTTTTTGTTATTGTTTTTGTTATTGTTGAAAAATAGAGTTTCACCTTTGTTGTGAGTAAAAAACAAAGAAAAAATAAAGTTGCACACTTTTTCGGAATCACTTTATATTTAATTTTACTTTGAAAAATTTGTATGTAAAATGAAAAAAAAAATATTTACAATAATTGTAATAATGATCTCTTTTTTATAGACAAATTTTAATAATGTTTACCATTTTTATTGTTTTTTAAAAAGTTTATAAAAAAGATATAATTGTAATATTTGTCTGATTTTTTGAAAATATTGTTCAAAATGTTTTAATTTTTAAAAAAAGACTGCAGTTATGGGAATTAATACTTGAATTTTAAGGGATTTGTTTTACCATGATTTGTGTAAATGATAGAAATTTTAGTGAACAAAAAAAGAATAGAACAATGAAACGAAATCCCCCCAAAAATTACAACATAACCTTTAAACACTCACAAGATTGAAAAAATTAAAAAAATCGGTGTCAAAGTAACAAAGATGGAATAAATAATATTGAAATATCATGTTATTAAATTGTGAATTATTCTATCAAACAAAATATAATGTTTAAAACATGAATTTGCCTTTAATTTGGTTGTGTAATATATCTTTTTATAGAGTCAGTCTTTTAATATTATCTTTTTTTGCAAAAAATACATATAAATCTTTAAAAATGGGAATTAGGTAATAAATCATAAAAACGGTATAAAAACTAAAACAAACATTTTCTAGCGTTTCGAAAATTGTCCCAATATATTCATATTTTCAATATATATAACCAGGGACAATGTTGGAAAAAGGACAAAGTTTAAAGAATGATTCTAGTACGATACACCCATTTCTTTTTTTGTTTTCAAACTGTTCATTCATACTTATTTATTTCTTTTAAATATTAAATAATCGTCACAAAAACGCATTTCTTTAAAAAGCAAACATTATGAAATTGTTATTGGTTTTAATATAAAAAACGTAAAAAACAAACTTTATATATGTTATTTCTCTTTTTCTCGCTGACTTGTTTTATCTTCTGTATCGATGCTTCAACAGAAATATCTGTTGTAGTGAAGAAAAATATGTCTGATTTAATGCGTTTAATCCAAGATCAAGGTAATGCTTGGGGAAATAGATTAACTGAAATTGTTAACATGGTCGAGACTTCCAATATATTTAGTCAAGAAGTTCCAAACTCTTTTTATCTTGTCAAGGCAAATGTCGAAATGATTTCTCATACCCTTGAAGCGATGCTTTCAAAGGGTAGTATTACAAGAGCTGATCTACACAATCTGGCTTTGATTATTATTAATGTTTTCAACAAGGGTGCAAAAACTTCAAAGATATGTGATTTTGCGATGAATGCTGCTTCAAATATTGAAAAGATCCAAAAATCTACAATAAAAAGTGAGACTAAAACTGATTGGCAATCCAAATTTTTGATTCCTCGAACCTTTTTAGGTAAGATCTTAAGACTCCTAAAAATATTAAATAAATTCCCCCTTTTCAAAAACGACGACCAATTGAGAGTTGCAATTGATGATACTGAATCATTTTTGCAATATATTATTGCGAAGAACGACAAATTACAAAAGTTTTACAACATTGAAGAAAGTAATGGATTTGATGACTCAGGAATAAACTTTTCTGTTGAAAATGCTATAGCTGGAACTTCTTCTCCAAAACACGTACAAGCACGTCCCCTCCCACCAGTACCCGCACCCACACCTTTCCCATCAACAAGCGGAGAGGTTCCAAAACCACCAAGAACTTTGTATCGTGACAGAAAGTCCAGTGATTATGAAGATCCTACTGAAGCAATAGAAGCAGCAAGAAATAGACATAAAAAACCAGAGACGGTTTATGCTAAACTTAAATTCCCAGAAAGTAATCAAAGACCAAGAAAAGAACCAATTTACATGAATTTACCAGGTGACACTGGTAGAAATGATAACGAAGGTATTTATCATCACGTTGGAATGCCAGGAACAGAAGAAGAAGTTCATTACGCGACACTTCAATTTAAAAACCCGGAAATTCCAAAAAGAAGTCAGGCTAAAGTTAGAGACCCGAGAGAAGACCTTTATGCCAAAGTGAACAAAAGAAGATAAACAAATTTCATCATTTGAATAATATTTCAATATTAAAACTTATTATATTAATATAAAATAGCTTAAGTGTTATTAATTAATATAAATAAAATTATAATATTTTTAAACTAAAAAACTTTTTTTAATTATATATTTTGTTTTTAATTTTTATTGTTGAAATGTTTTTAATTTTTAATAATGACCAGATAAGTTTTTTGTAAACTTTTTCTGTTTTTTTGACTTCAACATTTAAGGGTATCTTGAGGATAAGGTGCATCCTCGGGATCAAAGCTATCGTTATTAAAAATTTTTTTCTGAGGATACAAAAATCAAATCCATAAGGTTCAGTTCCCCATAAGACCCACTTTCATAACTCAAGTTATAATTTACACTTTATATTTCGAGTCAAAGTTCGAATTTTAAATAATGGTAATAATTTGTCATAAATGCCAAAAAAATAAATACAATCAAAAAATCGCCACAATAATCAGTAAACAAAAACAATAATTATATCTCGCGAACTTGAGACGGGAAATAACAAAACATGAATTAAACTTGTTCATTTTATGATTATATACTTATTGAAATTATTTCCGAATCCGTCTTTATAACAAAATAATTGAAATTTACGTTTAATTTGATAATTGTTTTTTTATCAAAATGAAAATTGAAAAAGTCGAAAACACTGATTTTCTAAAAATGTGATTTTAAAATAACAAATTTATAAATATTTTTGTAATTTATGCAATTATTCAAATTTATTGTAATAACAAAGTTAATCATATTGTGTATATTTTAATATGAATGTTTCATTTTGATATTAACTTGTGTTTTAAACAGATTTACAGTTCTGAGGATGGCAATTATTTTCTGAGGATGACAGAAATAGAAAGTTCACACTTTTACATCTGTCTGAAATGTGTATTGAGTAAGTTACTATTTTTGAACATGGGAACACGTCATTTCACTTTTTAGGTGTTTAAGTCTGTGTTGACAATGTCTGTTTGTTACACGACTTACCGTCCTTAGAACTATTTATAGCACTGCCACTATTGATTTAAAATTCTATAAATAAAATTATCAAAGAATTTTTACAAGGTGGGTTTTGATAATTGATTATATCAAAAATCGTCAAAACACAACAAAAACGCCAATTAATATATATAATTGATTAATAAATTGAACACATTTCTATTGAGAATTAATATTGTAAAAAAATAATATAAACATTTATTTTTGTTTATATATGTTTTGAAATATAAATAAAACCGTTTAAAACAAAAATGATTTTATTTTAAAAATTTGTTTATTTATCAATCGTTGTTTTATCGATATCCAAAACCTCTCTTTTTGAATTTGCGCAAATACATAAATTGTTATCGCATAGAGTATACGTTATTAATACGTTATTTGTTATCAATTTTTATTGTTTGAAATATCATGAATTGATTTATAATTAATTATTTTTGTAAAAAAGATTAAAAATTGTTTGATTAATTTGTTTTGTGATTTTGATAAAAAAAATCGACTTTTTCGATAATTCAAATGTTTGTTAAATGTTTTCATATAAACCAAAGTTAGTCTTGTGGTAAATCAAAAAATAGAAGTAGATTATTTTTTTGTAAAAATCAACTGAAAGAATTATCTTTCAAAAAATCCAAAAATAGCATTTTTCAAGAAAATCAAGTGTTTCAAAATATACCTTTTTGATCTTAGGCAAAAAAATCCAAATTGAAAGAAATTATGTTTAAGATATTTACCATCCTCAGAAAAATTAACAATCCTCATGAATCCCTTTAATATGATAAAATAAACAATTTTTATTTTAAACTTGATAAACTTAAAAAAAGTTAAAATTATAATAAAACTAATATTATACAATAATATTGTAATATATTTTTTATAACCACTTATATTGAATAAAAATACAAATACTTGTTTTCAAAATATATATATTTTTTCAAAAAGAAAACAACTTTATGTTAAAAACTTCCAACTTTATTGTTAAAAGCGTTTTGTAATAACCTCGTTCTACAATAAAAGAAAAACTGTAAAACATGAATTCACGATGTATGTTTTAACTCTGTTTTTGTTTGTTTTCTTGATTCAGCTTGGAGAAGCAAGTCCGTTGAAAGAAAATGTCAGAAAGATGATGGAGGTCACAAGGGATCACACTAGACATTGGTCTGAAGTGGTTCTCGATGCGTTACAAAAATTACAAAAAAGTGATATAGATAGACAGGTTTATGCTCCATTGGGTGGAGTCGGTGGAAACATGAAAATGATTATTATGGGTCTTGAAACAATGCTTACAAAAGGTAGAATTGAAAATGTGGATATTCAAAATTTAATTTTGATATTAACAAACATTTTAAGAAAGGGAGTTCAGAACTCTCCATTGTGGACCCACGCTAATCAAAATGTTGAAAACATGAAAAAAATTGGACTTTCAAACCTTCAACAAGAAGTAAAATCAGAAGTACAACAAACTTTATTGGTTCCTCGAAGGTTATTCGATAAATTAATGAGGTTGTTAAATATACTGTTCAATTACATTGATATGAGATACAAAGATGATTTTAATAAAGCTTTTGATCTTCTGAAGGAATTTATAACCCTAATTGAAGCAACCAATGGCGATATTGAAAAACAATATAGTGTTGTAGAAACAGGAGGATTTAGTGATGATGGAATTGATTTGTCGAGTGAGGGTGAAGATTACCAACCAAAGCCTGCAGTTCCTCCAAAACGGGTAGCTCCACCTAAACCGCCAAGAAGAGCTCGTCAACCAGCACCAGAAGGAGCAGAGGGAACTTCTGCTTCAGCTGTCCAACACAGACCTTACACCCCGCCTCCTCCTTTACAACAGAGACCTGGTGGAAGACAACGACTTGGAAGTGACTACGAAGATCCTGATGAAGTTAACAAAGAGAGAGCACAAATGACTGGAGCACAAACACCACCACCAAGACAAGGATCAAGAAGTCCAAGTCCTACTGCTTCTGGTACTGGTTCTGGAACAGAAACCGACCCAAGAGAGGATATTTATGCCAAAGTACAGAAAAAGAAAAAGTAATAAATCACATTTTCATTTTTCATTTTGTCTTAATAGATTTAACTGAAACAATATTATATAACCTTGAAGACAACACAAATAAATGGTTAAAAATAATTTATTTCCACACAACTTAAAAGTAATTTAATTTAAAAGGTGATTTTGGATAAAAATTAACATTTACTTTATCTTTAAATAACAAATGTAATTAACTTTATAAATAAAAATTAACTTGTTTTAATAACTTTTATGTCATAACTTTATAAAAAAGTTGAACAATTCAAAAAGTATCATCTTTTAATTTTTTAACTTTATTTGACATTTGTTAAAAATATTCCTTTAATATGTGTGACAAGAGTCAATCTGGTTTATGTATTTGTTGGTGTTATTTTGTCTGACACTTTCGTTCTCTTTGGGCGATGCTCCTCCGGGTGAAACCGAAGAAAATGAAAAATTCGATATCAAAGAGCAACTATTGAAATTGCTATATTTACTAGTTGGCCATGGAACCTCATTTCAAAAAATAGTAGAAAAACTTAGAGATGAATATGGTGACAAGAAGTTGTTTCCAAACATAGTTTTTGTAGCTTTAAATTCAATTAGAAAAAATTACGGTTTCTTGATTGATGTATTCACCAAAATTATTACTCAAAAATCAATTGGTGGAAAGGATTTTACAAATATTGTATTGGGTATTCAAAGGATGATGAAAAAAGAAGAAGGTCAATTTAATATATGGACATTACTTCTTAACTTGGAAGAAACACTTGAAAAGATTGAACAATCCAATTTACCACCAGAAGAGAAGAAAGTTGTTCAACGACTTCTCCTTGTTCCAGTCGGTTTCTACCAAAAAATTTTAAGATTATTACGATGTTTATTGAGAGAAGGACCTTTCAAAGAGAATCAACTCCTTATGGATATCACAGAGCAATTACGTATATTTGTTCTGGATGCTCAAAGTAAAAATGATGACGCAGAAAATAAATATGGAATTAAAGAAAGTGGTGGATTCGGTGATGATCATATTGTTCTCGAAGGCGAACCGCAAAAATACCCAATGGGTTTAACGCGTATTCACGTTCGTCCTTCTGTTAGAAAAAGATATGAAGCAAGATCACTCCCATCAACTCCTGCAGGCTCACCCGCACCTTCTCCTAAAGGAACACCAAAAACCTCTCCTTCACAGATGAGAAGAAGACCACTTCCTCAACTCCCAGAGGGAGCTGTTGGAGGAAGACCAAGAACACCAAGCCCACATGGCGATGATACTTATGAAGCTGTTGGTGGAGGGGAATCGCCTTATCAATTGGCCGGAAGACCCAGAAGTGGGAGAAGAAGAAGTAGAAGTACCAGCCCAAAAAGATCAGATACTTATCAGTTGGCTGGAAGACCTTCTCCTAAGGAAGAAGGTGTTGATCCTTATTCACTTGTGGGTCAACCTGGAACAAGACCTGGAACTCCCCCTCTTGAAACTGTTTATACTTTACAAGGACAACCAAAACCAGTAGATACAACTAAAGAAGAACAACCTGTTCCTCCTCCAAGAGCTCAATCTCTTCCATCACCACCTGTTTCCAGACCTCCAACTCCACCGCCCCCAGACTATGATACCTCGACCACTACAGTACAACAGAGACCAAAATCTCCTACAACTGAAAAAGACTAAGATACTTAAGAGAATTATTCGTAAAAAAAATTTCATCATTTTTATTAAAACATTTTTAATGATATTTAAAAAAGACATATAATTTTTAATATATTTAACTTTTATATAATTGTTAACTTGTCAATATTCAAACACAATTTTACTTGAATGTTATATTAAATATTTTTATATTATTTAAATTATATTTCACTTGAATATTATATGAAAATTTAAATAAATTCAATACATGATAATTTTTAATTTTAAAAAAAAATGTTTAAATTATGATGTTAATAATATATTTCAAACCTCTTCTTTTTTGACCATATTGTCAAAAATTAATTCGAAAATTAATTCATGTGTAGTATAATTAAATATAATTCTATTTCGTATCAATGAACTACAATTCTAACCTGGTAATTCATTTCAATTCATACAAAGTGTTGTTTTTGACTTCGTTTTTAAATTAGAATAAAAATGACACAACTCAATTTCTTAAATGTTTCTTCTTTTAGTTTCATTTTTCTTTTGTTCCTTTTCGATGAGCGATGATGTTCCAGGGAAGTATGATAATACTTCTCGAGTTGTTTTAACTGAATTATTAAGAAGGTTGATAAAACTTCTAATGGAACACATTCAAACTTGGAATTTTAGACTTCAAGATTCTTTTTTAAAATTGACTAATCAAGGTATTATATCACAATCCAGTGTTTCTCTAATGAGTCAAATTCAATCACAATTACAAATGATATACAACTTTTTGGATGTCGTTTTGAAAAACAACAAAATAACAAATGAAGACTTAAAAACACTATTTTCGTTTATCAGTATTATTTTTAAAAGCAGCCCAAGATCATATTTGTGGACTTATGCCATGGAGTCTCAAGTATTTTCAGATAAAATATCATCATCTTCTTTATCAGAAGAAGATAAAATATTGATTCTCCAAAACAATTTTATACCACTGGGATTATTTACAAAATTATTGCGTTTTTTAAGACTTCTTTTGAAATTCAATCAATTCAAAGACAATGAAGGACTTGTTCAATCAACAGAAAGTGTACGTGTATTCTGTACACATGTTTCAGTATCGAACATTGAAATTACTCGTCTTCATAAAGTCGTTGAGCCGTCAGAATTCAGCGACTCGGAATTAGAAAAGGAAATTGAAAAGGAAGAAAGAGCTGTTGCAAGTGCACAAAAGAGTTTCAAAAATAAACCACTCCCTTCTCTTCCTGATGTAATAAAAAGAATGGAACAAAGGAAACTACCTGCTGTTCCTGTTCAACCAAGTGGTTCACCGATATCATCACCTGAAATCCAAAGAAGACAACTTCCCTTGCTTCCCAGTGAATTATCTCCACACAAAAGACAAGGAAAAACAACCAAAAGTGAAAGTGAAGATCAAAACATTGGATTTGTCGAAAATAAACATTTGGTATTACCAGAAACTTCTTCGATTCCAAGTGAAGAAGCATCAGTTAGGAAAAAGAAATCTTCATTTAAAAGAGGTAGAACACCATTAAGAGAAAGACCACTTCCACCACTTCCACTAACAGATAGAAAACAAAGATCACCAACTGGAGTAAGAAATGATTATGAAAATCTTGATAGTGATGGTGATAAAGAAACCCAATACTCTGCTGTTAAAACAAAAACACAAGAAAGGGACAGAAGTCCAAGTCCGCAACCTGCGAGTGAAACTTCAGATAATTCTTCGCCTGAAAGAAAAAGCTCGGGAACGGATTCTGAAGCTTCTCTCAAAATTTATACAATTCAAAAACCACAAGAAAAGGAAAAGGAACAAACAACTGGTGTTTCTCAAACTCCAAGTCAAACACCAACTGAAAGTACTGATGAAAGAGATATTCAAAGATCTCCCCAAAGATCAAGAAGCCCAAGCACGGAAAGAAAGTAATTTGATTTCAAAAAATAAGAAAATGTTTATTTTTTAATTTAGTAGATAAAGCAATTTGTTTAAAATGATTTAAATATTTTTTAACGAGATTTCTATAACTTGTTTCGTGATACAATTTGTTATCTTATTGTGTAATTATAAAAAAATATATCAAAAGTAATTAATCATTTTTTGTTTTTTTAATTTAAAAAGTGTGTACTATAACTAAAAATTTATGCCCAAATGTTTTTCAAAGTAACTTTAAGTTATTTTTGTTTTAATAATATTTATTAACCACTTATAACATTAAATTTTTTGAGGGAAAAATAATAAGTTGACAATATTTTTATATGATATTTCATTTGAGGTTAAGTTTTGTAAATAATTGGACTTCAAACTTTGAATTTTTAATGTTGACAAAAAAATGATTGTGGTTAATAAAACAATGAAAAAAAAATAAACTAAAGCTATTGTGTATTAAATATAAATTAAAATACATAGTTTGCTTAATTAAAAAATAAAAAAGAATTATTTGTTATTGTTTTGAATTTAAAATTTAATATAAAATTAATTCTTTATAATTTTTTTTATTTATAATTATGTTTTATAAAAAAATATCTTGTAACAGTTTGATATAAAAAAATAATTTTTAAAACATTAATTGTTATTTGACAACTTCAATTTATATTTTTTAATAAAGAGTTTTTCATTGTTTTAAATATAAAATTCAAATTAAAACGATACATTAGAAACAATGTATTTTTGATCTCAAATTAAAATTGTTGCCTTTTTGTCGTTAATTTTATATAAATAATTACATTTTGATATTTCTAATATTAAATAGAAGTCATTATACAAACTGAATTGTGTAGGACATGATTATCAGAAGCCAACTTTTTTATTGACATTTTTCAAACAATCCAAGTAATCAAATCAATATATTACTTATTTCACAGTAATAATTTTTTATTAAAAATATTAATAATAACCTACACATAAAATAATTTCATTTATCATTTTTGATATGTTGTTCAGTTTTATTACAATTGAACTTCTGATTACAACAATGTTGTTAAATTTTATTAATAAAATATATCAAAAAAAGTTTTTTAATTAAACTTAAAATAAAATTAGGTTTTAAAAATTATTTAACATAAAAATTTTAAAAATAATCTTATTTTTCAAATAAATAAATAATTACAAACTAATTAAATAATTCAACCTTTTCTAAATATACGTTTTGTCTTTTAAAATGTCAATATTGTTTTACAAAAAAAACTAAAATAAGAATAAGAATAAGTTAATATTAAAGGGTCATTCTTCTTTATTTGTTTAACTTTTGACAATAAAATTAATATGTATGATAAAATTGTGTTTGTTTGTTTTAGATTTATTTTAATTTTTAATTTTGATAAACCAAAAGTAAACTGAAAATGTATTTTTTAATATGTCATTCATATTTTATTGTATTCTTTTTGTGATTTCTGTTGCGTACGATCAGCCAATTGATTCTTCTTCGAGCGAATCCCCACCAAATCCAACCAATTTAGCAAGAAGAAAAAGTTTATCAACGGGTGATGTTTCAAAGGAGACGAAAAAGAAAATTGATGAACAAAAAACAATGGGAGGGTCAACAGGTCAAATGAGCAAAAAGCACTTTGTTAAAAATCCTTTTACAAAAAGAAAACTTAAAAAACAAATAGAACTACTTCCTGGAAGTAGTGAAGGTGCAGTGGGTGGTATTGAACCAAAAGAAGAATCAGAAGAAGTTGTTGTTAAACCAAGAACAAGAAGTTTCACAGCCGGTCCTGTCCAGCTTCGTGCAAAAAGAAAAGGTGAGAAAAAGAAGAGACCTGGTTCGACACCAATACCTGAAACGGAACATGTGGCTCCAGCTTTAGTGAGAAGTAAATCATCTGAAAATCTACACTCTATTGTTGTAAAACATTCCGAAATACCAATGTTCGAACTTTTTGATGGTTTAAGATTGTTGATAATGGTAATGCAAGACCAATTGTTTGATTGGTGTGACTTGTTGCATTTAATGGCAAGCAGACTCAAAACATATAAAATTACTAATCAAAGAATTCCAGTCAATTTACTAAACATCGAAAGTGAGTTTCGTATTTTAATTGAACAATTGAAACAAATATTGAAAGAAGGAATAGTCAATCAAGAAAATGCAAAAACTGTTGCTGTTTTAATACTTAGACAACTTGATATGCAGTCTTTAAGCAATCTTGTAAGTTACCATCGAGATATTTTAATGGTATATGAGGGTTTATTCTTCGCTACTTTAAAACCTCAAACAACAAAAACACTTGGCAATCAACTTGTAATTCCACATACACTCTTCAAAAAAATATTACAAATGTTATCAACTTTTGTAAGATATTTCCCTCAAAGTAAAATAGTTGAAAAGGCTAAAAACGCTCTTGTTCTCTTTATAGAAGAGTTAAAAATAACCAACCTAAACATAGAACAGCGATTCTTTGCTAAAGAAAACAAAGCACGATTTGAGCTTTCTAAGTTTAGCTTAGAAAGGTATAAATTAGAAGGTGATCAAAGATTGTTATTCTGGAAATCAAAAGATGAAAGAAAGGCACTTGCTTCACGTCCACTCCCACCACTTCCAATCACTCCTTTACAACACCCAACCACTTCAGATTCTGATGATAGTGACAAAGAAGGTATTTATACAAAAGTAAAGTAATAATATATGACTTTGTTTCTTTTATTATATTGTTTATATAAATATGATTTTAATGTAAAATAAAACTCATTTAAACTTCATTTTTCTTTTTTGTCGTTTTCTGTATCGACCTTTTCAGCATTTTCGCTCTTTTCTTTTTCAATGACGTCTTTAATTTTACTTTGGAATGTGTAAGACGCAGTCTCGTCGTTGTAGTTAGCAATTGCAATTAACACGCCAACCGCTCCAAGTGCGAATTCAAGATTAATTGGTGATCCAAATAAGAAGTGTGACAATAAAGTAGTCAGCACAATAGCAACAGATACGGCAAATCCCTTAACAATGACATCAGCATAAGTCATGACAAGTGCAACTAATATACCACCCACTGAGTAATCTAAAACCATTAAGAATGCTGTCCAACTGAAGTCGTGGAATGGTCCAAGTGTGAAAGTTGATTTAAAATCGACGACAAAGACATTGATAGCTGCAAATAAAATCGAATACAATGATAACTGGAAGTTCCGTTCCCACAAATTCAACTTTGGCCCTGACGATACTTTGTTCTTCAGAATTTTCTCCATATACACCCCACTAAAACCAGAAGCCGAATTTGCAATGATCGCTGTGATAATTCCTAAGAAGTAATTTCCCATTTCTGTTTTTTCATTTGAACTGTTTGAAGCAGCACGATTTGCACTTTCTACGATTGTTACACAGACTACCAAAGCCAAGAGTGCTCTCCATTGTGTTGTTGTCAATTTCTTACCTAATATAATGACTGACAACAACGCAGCTGACAAGATTTTGAGTTGAGAAAGTATCGAATAAAGACCCGGGTGAATGTTAGAAAGTGCGACTTGACTCAAAATATTTTGGAAGAAGTAAATGAGAGCAGGAACAGACGACACTAACGAACACATAATAAGCGTTTTCAAATGTGAAAAATACTTTTCTTTGTGTGTCACAAATATTCCTATCAACGAGACGAACAATTTGATTATTTCATTCAATAAAATTGATGACGGAATAGAGAACTTCTCTTTTAACACACCACGAGAGTATCTTGTGATTAGGAAAATCGAAACAGTCTGGACGGTCAAACAAACAAAGAAAATGCTGCTCAACACCGCTTTGTTCATTTTTTATTATTAAGTTTCTATATTTAATAGTTTTAGGTCTTTTATATAATTCGAATTCAAAAAATTGAAATAATCCATTTGAAATTTCTAATTTTATAAGAAAAACTATTGAAATGGCTAAGAAAGGTAAACAAAATGAAACAATTGAAAAACTATTTTATTAGTAAATTAAATACTATATTTATAGTTAAAATAAATGTAATGAAATAAATACACTACGCGACGTGGTATGTCTCAAATAAAGAATGAAGTGCACTGACCACTTCACCAATCTTCATTCGAACGTTTCCATCAAAGCACCACATTTTCCAAGTAAGTTGTATGTCACATCTTCAATTCCTTCAATTTGTGGAAGGTGTTTACCAGTAGCCACAAAATCTGCTATCGACCACGCATATTTAAAATCACTTTTGGGGTATGGGTCTTTCCACTTAAAGCATTCATACATGGTTATTGCAAAGGAAAAGATATCACTTGGCATCTTGTACTTCTCTTTATTTAACACTTCAGGAGACATGTACTTTGGTGTTCCAATACCCTTTGTGAAGGTCATGTTTGTCATTAACATATTAGTATTTCTCGCACTTCCAAAATCAGTCATTTTTGCATTAACTTTTTCGTCGGAGTCCATTGAAAAAACGAGTAAATTGTCTGGCTTGATGTCTCTGTGGACTATGCCATTATTGTGTAAATAAGAAATGCCTTTTGCCATGTCTAACATGAATTTCACTTTGACTCTATTTTTTGGAGACTTGTCCTTCTCATGTTTTATTAAATCTCTTAAACTGCCATATTGAGCGAATTCGGTGACCATACACACTTTGTTTGGTATAAATACAGCACCATAAAAGTGAACTAAATATTCACACCTGAATTTGTCTAACATCGAAACCTCCTTCTCAAATTCGCGAACTTTCGCTTCGGTCTCACACCCTTCTCTCATCTTTTTAATTGCCACTTTGTTGCCTCTAAATTCACCCAAATAAACTATCCCAAATGAACCCTCTCCAAGTTTTTTCTCTTCTTTTAATTCATGGTAATCAAGTCGCGTTGTCATTTGTGTCTTCGCATTGATTGTGACGTGTTCATTCATTTCAATACCTTTCTTGATATCAAGACCAACACAAACAATCTTCTCCTGAATGATACAAGAGCAAAGCGGTGTTATAAATATTTCAAATTCACACGCTTCTCCACTCTTCAAATTCACTAGTTTTGGTTCCGTGCGAACTTCATAATAATCACGTCCCTCCATCACTGTGAACTGCACTTTTATTCGATTTTTAGAATTATTCCCAACACACAACAATTCGCGAGTTTCTTTATTGACTGGAATGCCATTTTTTGGTCATCCCCGTTTTCAAAAATTATTTCATTCTTGTTCACTACAAGCCAGTCATTTACTTTATAAAATTCGATATTAGAACGCTTTATCTGGAACACACAAACGTTTAACATTTTCCTTTTTTCTTTGATGTGAATGTAAAAGAAGTATCCCCCAAGTATTGAGACCGTTATTGATATGACTACGATCAATAAAAATACAACTGAAACTAAGATAACAAGTGCTAAATTTAAGTCATCTTTACATGCGAAGCCATCATCAGTTGGATGTTTCTTATTGGTGCATTGTATACAAAAGCCGTTTCGAGCTGCTTTACAAAATGGAATTTCAGATACAAAAACACAGAGTTTGGTCTCTACATATACATAATTGTCAACACATTTATTACACAATTTGTTGTTGTCACACATTTGACACCCTTCCAAACAACGGAAACAACGTGGGATGATGTTATCGAGATAATACCCATCATCACAACCTTTACATCCTCTCTTTGTTTTGTCATAACAATTGGTAAGAGTGCTGTATGGTTGACACAAATTGTTTTCAAAAGAAATCAATGTGTAATTCTCTGCACATTCAACACATGAAATGTTATTCAAACACACAGAACACGATGGGTCACATTTAATACAATCAGCGTGTTCAAAATAATATCCCGTTTTACATATTGCACAACAACGTTCTTGTGGCATCAAAGAGTCACAACGAGAACGTAGTGATGACGAAGCCTCACACAAATTTGACGAATTCAGAAAGGTGGAATTACCACAAGAAATACAATGATCATCACTGAAGCAGTCTATACACAATCCAGAACATTGATGACAAACATTACCTTTTAGGTAATAAGTATTTTCAGATTTTATACAACCTTTTGGTGTTTTTACTTTACAATGCGTGTCATCTGTTGTTGTATTGTTTTGTTGCTTCTCCTTACTAAAACCATCAATAACTTTAATAGTTTCTTTAAAAGTAGTAATTTCTGTATTACACAAATTGTTGAATAAAAAATAATTTGTAATACATTCATAAAATGTTAGTGTCGAAGCTGTGGAGTTCAAAATTCGTTTTGTGTTACCAGTTGTTTGTTTGCAATAAGTCTCCTTAAAATTTGAAATTTCAAACAATGTTGAGTATCTCTCTATACACTCAATACAACTTTTGCCATCACCTTTGATACATTGTAAATCGGTAATTGAAACACAATGACCTTGAACGGGTAAATACTCTTTTAAACACTTTATGCATTCACACTTGTGGTATTGTAAACAATTTGAATTAATTGTACACACAAAACATTTGTTATTTGTTATTAAAGAAACAACTGCACAATTCACACAGTCACTCCCTTCATATTTTAAGCAGTTTGGATACCTTTCACATTTTCCATTTGCTTTATCCAGTGCACTCGTTGCGTCACAAGATAACGACACTTCAACACTATTATTTAAAATACATATCACAGAATTTGCATCTTTTGTTGAACATTTTGAACACAAATTATTAAGGTCGACAAATTCGTTACTTTCACATGCATAAAATTTCCCATTCAATATTTTAGTCTCTGTCAACATCGAGTCAATTTTTTACAATCTTTGTTGACCAACGAGTAATCGTTGACACATTTTAAACAAACGTTTTCGTCATTTCCTTGTTTATTTCGAATATTTCTGTTGTATTTACAATTGGGTGATAATGTCCCACAATTTCCAATTGATGAAATGCCATATATACAATCTTCACAAGTGTACTTCGATTTTGTTACACACGTTTCTTGATCTTCACATTTTGCTTTGATGTTATAATACATCGAGTTACACTTCAAACACTTTTCGACTTCTACCTGATTTATACAATTTGAATCTTTGGTAGTGCAAGTGTTATTATTTAAAAAGAAATAATTTGATATACAAGATACACACTTTTCATTTTTCAATTCATATGGATGATAACAGAAGTCACATATTGGTTTAAAGTCAGGAGTATTGTGACATGTTTGACAATTCGAACTTTCAATATAACACCATTGACATCTCTCTGTTTCATTTTGGTAAAATCCAAATGGACATTCACATGTATTTAATGACGTTAAATTAAACACATCAACACACGTTTTACAAACTCAACTTGTTTTTTCACATGTGGCACAATGCAAGATGTCGTTACATGGAACACACCTCTTATTTTCTGCAAAGTACCCCTCTTTACATTCCGTGCATCCATTAACTGTATCACAATTATCTGATGCACAATTTGAATCACAGACTTCACACTTACTTCCACTGAGATATCTTTTGGGAGCACAAGAAAGACAATTTGTTGAAAAACCGCCATTACATGTCAAACAAGTGGTGTCACACCGAACACATAATCGATTTAATGGATAAAATGTGATATTACACAAAGAACACCCATTATCTGCACTGCAACTTCCCCATGCACAATTTTTGTCACAACAAACACCTCCATTGCGAATTTCTTGATTGGAGTTACAAGAAGTGCAACTAGATGCACTACCTCCATTACATGTAAGGCAAAATGGATTACATTGTGAACATCTTTTGTTATTGATATAATATTTATCTGGACAATTTGTACATCCTTTAAGAAGATCACACATCCCGCGTGTACAAATATTATCACAAGTTATACATTGATTACTCTCCAAATAAGTTTCATTATAACAAGAAGTACAGTTGTTTTTAGTTCCAAAGCAAGTAAGGCATGATGCATTACATGATAAACAAGTGTTTAATTTTGATAAGTAAGTGCCGCTATGACATGTTAAACACTCATTGTTGTTACCACCAGAACAAGTCAAACCATTGTTATTACATGGGCTACACCTTTTGTCATCGATATAAAACCCATCATCACATTTTATACAACCTTCTGTCGTCAAACAAGAATTGGTTAAACAATTTGTATCACACTTTAAGCATTGATTATGTTGTAAATAAGTTCCATCATAACACGAAGTGCAGTTGTTCTCTGTACCCACACATTTATCACATGTTGTATTGCACTGTTCACATACATTAAAGTCTGTGTAATATCCTTTTACACATTCGATACAACCGAAGTCACTGATGCATTTTGTTGGTAGACAAGTTGTATAATCACATAATGTACAAACTTTATTATGAGGATAATAACCTTCATTACAATTGCTGCATCCATTGAAATTGCATTTTCCTTGAACGCAATTTGGGCAGTCTTCACATATTCCATTATGTAACCACTTTTGATCTTCACATGAAGTACAATTGGTTGCAGTGCCTGTACACGTTTCACAGTTTGAGTCACACTCAGAACACGCTTTATTTCGATTGATATAATATACGTATCCCGACATTTTATACATTCATTATTTAAAAATGTCCCCAAACATTTAATACAATAATCAATATTACACTCTCCAACTTTAATGCGTTCGTTTGAATAAAATTGGATATTTTTAATTTTGTTAATTTGTAGTATTTGGTTACTTCATTAAATTGTAACAACTCACTTTCTAAGTTGTGTTGAACAGTCAAAACTGTTGTTTTTTCGCACAATAATATCAAGTCTTCTTTTCCATCTTCAATGAACAATCTCCCATCACCTCCACTCAATTGATATTCACTTCCACATCTTTCAAAGTCTTCCACACATTTTACTACATTGTCGTATGTACACCACTTCATGGAGAACACCGTCAAAAAACATATACCAATGAGCCACGACATCATCTGAAGAAAAAGTACTTCAAAATTTGGTTTTTCTTTTTAGAAAACTCCCAAAAGATTTGAATAGATTCTTGTTATTCAATCATTATATTTATATATAACATCCTTTTTCTTTGTTTTTCTCAAAAAGACATCCAAAAATATTTCCGTCTATCTGTTCATGGTTGGGTTTTTTTATCTTAAACCTGGTTTGTGGCTTTTTGTCTTTTTGATTTCTTTTTATGAATAAAAATTTTTGACCGTGATCTGTTATGAATATGAAAAGAGTCACCCGTTAAACGTTGTTTGGTCTGAAACGTTGTCGGACGATTTATGGACCATTATAATTATTACAAAAAAATAATCAAAAAGTCCAAAAAATGTTGTTTCATTATGTTCAGGGTTTTTTTCATTTTTACCTAATTCCCGCTTTTTTGAAACAAAAATCAATTATTGTTTGTCATAAAAAAATAAAAAAATTTTCATAAACTGATTATATTTGTGGAAAAATCTCCCCAAAAAAATAAATTATTTAATTTATTTTAAAAACTATTTTTTTTCTTTGTGAGTAACATTAATCTAGTTGTGATTATGGTTTATTATTGTAAATTATAAATTATGAAAGTCACATAATCAAGACCACTTTAAGTGGTTTACTTATTTAAAAACGGATTTTTTATACTTCTGACTTCGTATTGATTTCATTTCTTCTTAAACTATTCAAGGATAAAAAATAGTTTAGTAAACGATAAAACTATTTTGAGTGTGTTTCATATGTTTTTTATTTAGAAGATAAAAGTTAATAAATAAAGGCAAGACCGACAAAATATTTTAAAAACTTCCTTCTTTATTGTTTATTAAATTCTTCTATTTGAGTCTAATAAACTCTTATTATTTTATTTAACCAAAGTTTTTTTAATAAATAAATTCTATAATATAGTTTGAGTTTGTTATAAGTATAGAATCATATAAACTATAATAAAAACTAAAATATACCATTTATTTAAATCCAGTTGCAAATGACACTCTTCATATTCATACTATTATTTACTATACTTCAATCCCAGTATCTGCTCTCTCTTGGTGTTGGTCTATGATCTCTTCCTATATGTCTTCCGAATTGTGAAAGGTTAAGTGTCATGTTTAAAAAGAGTTTCATATAACAGTGGAACGCGTCTCCGCAATACCCCAAGTTATTATACTTCTGGAACTTCTTCCACCTCTTGAACTCCCGTTTTCCAAGAACCATTCCGAAGAACCCCGCCACACAGACCCGGTCATTTGCGCGTTGGACTTTAATTTTTTCGTATTTTTTGATGTTGAGTAACACTCTTGTAAGGATCTTATCTCCATCAGTGTAGTTGTCTAAGATCGGCTTCAACTTCTCAAAGAACCTTTTTTCAATTGCGATGTCGTCTTCGAAGAAAATGAGGAAGTCCGGGTCTACAGTCTCTGTGGCGTACTTTGCTATTTCGACTGCATGGTAGTTGACTAAGTTGTCCTTTTCAAAGTTGTTATATCGATGGTGCTGTCGTCGGTTCGTCGTGTCTTTGCGCATGTCCTGAAACCAACTCTCAAATTTGTCTTTCGCGTGTTGCCGAAAGGTGTCGTCACTGTATGGCGGGTGTTGTGTCGTCACGTTGAAGACGGTAATGTTATTCTTCATCAGTTTTCCAATCGAGTCTTCGAATACCGGAAAATCACAATTTTCACAGCCTAGGGTTATAAAAACCCCGTCTATTTTAATTCCTGCGTGGTTGTAGTTATACGCGTGAAGGAAATAGTCAATCGTATATTCAAGAAAAGGAACTTTTTTGGGGTACGTCCACATAACGAAAGCGACGTGGTGATCTTTCCCTGAGACGATACTCAAGATTGAAAAGAGAGAGGAAAAGAGAAGAAACACGTGCAACATTTCTCACCACTTTGGAAATTGTGTTTTTATTTCTTTTTTGTTGACAATCTCAGTTTGTCTTTGTAGCGCAAACCATTTCTTTCGTTTCAAATAAAAAATGTATAAAAACTTTTATTGTAATTTTTAAAACACCTTTAGTTAATAATTGTCAGTTAAAAACCAAATAATTATAATACTTGAACTATAATTTATTGGTAAATTTTATCCATAATCAACAAATTATATCAAATAGTAATTTAATTATAATATTATAATTTACAAGACCAAAAGCTTTGTTTTCACAAATAATAAATTTCCATTTTTTCCATTTTAGAAAATTAGAATATTAGAAACCAACAAATCAAAAAAACAAACATAATAATAGTAAATTTATAACAATTTAATAGTTTATTGATAATTCAATGTTTTTTTCAACTCCTGTTTTGTACATTTATAAATATTCTAAAAAAAGAATCACACGATTTTAAAACACCTTTCATCAACCCTACTTCCTATTAGGGTTGTCATAGTACTTTTCTTAAAAAAATCGAATGAGGAAAACTTAAAAACAAATTGACGAAGGAAATGAATAAAGCAGTTTTAAGTGCCATTTTTCTTATTCTTTTAACTATACAGGCCACATCCATATCTATCATCACAAGATACTCTCGTGGTGTGTTAAAAGAGAAATACTCCATTCCCGCGTCTATACTGTTGAACGAAATATTAAAGATGGTCATGTCTTTTGTTGGAATAGCAGTGACACACCGAGACACACCACTCTTTTCACACTTGAAATTGATCATTTCGTGTTCGTTAGTGTCGTCCGTTCCTGCTCTCATTTACTTCTTCCAAAATATGTTAATTCAAGTGTCCCTCTCTAATATTCACCCGGGTCTTTATTCGATATTGGCACAGGCTAAAATCCTGTCAGCTGCGTTGTTGTCAGTCATTATATTAGGTAAGAAGTTAACAACAACACAATGGAGAGCACTCTTGGCTTTGGTAGTCTGTGTTATTTCAGTAGAAAGTGCCAACAGAGCCGCATCTGCCAACAGTCCCTCTGAAAATACAGGAAATTACTTTTTAGGTGTTTTAACTGCTTTATTAGCTTCTACAGCATCTGGTTTTAGTGGGGTGTATATGGAGAAAATTCTGAAGAACAAAGTATCGTCAGGGCCAAAGTTGAATTTGTGGGAACGGAACTTCCAGTTATCATTGTATTCGATTTTATTTGCAGCTATCAATGTCTTTGTCGTCGATTTTAAATCAACTTTCACACTTGGACCATTCCACGACTTCAGTTGGACAGCATTTGTGATGGTTTTAGACACTTCCATTGGAGGTATATTAGTTGCACTTGTCATGACTTATGCTGATGTCATTGTTAAGGGATTCGCTGTATCTATTGCTATTGTCTGTACAACAATTTGTTCATATTTCATCTTTGATAGTCCAATAACATTCGAGTTCTGTCTTGGAGCGGCTGGCGTGTTAATTGCAATTGCTAACTACAACGACGAGACTGCGTCTTACACATTCCAGAATGAAACTAAAGAGGCGAGAAAGCAGAATGAAGATATCAGAAAGGCGGAGGAGAGTGCTTCAACGACTCACACTCTCGAGTTGAGTACACAACAAAAATCAAAGGTCGATATTGAGAGAAGAGGGTCTCCAGTTATTGAAGGACCAGTTTCGATCACAATAAACCCAGACGATTAAAAGATAGAATAAAGCAATTGAATTACATTGACATACATGTGTTGTATTAATTTTTTTATAGTAAATATACTATATATTATATGATAGTTGTATTATAGTATAATATACTATACTATAGTAGAGTCTAATAAGAGAGTCTGTAACTCACTCCTCACTTGTTGTATTGAACTTCTTTTATGTTCATCTTGTTGCCACGCTTTTTCTATTATCGACTTTGTATTGTGAGATAATAAGTTGAGTGTTTGAGGTCGTTTACCGGCGGAAATGTCATCTGCGATACTCCAAGCGTAGTGATACACCGTCTGGGGGAATGGATCAGTCCATGTTATACACCACAACATTGTAATGGCGAAGGAATACACGTCGGCACCTTTTGAGTATTTTTGCCGATTTAACACTTCAGGAGACATAAATTTTGGTGTTCCGATTCCAGCAGTGAAGGTCATGTTTGTCATCAGTAAATTGATATTGCGCGAAGACCCAAAGTCGGTAATTTTTGCGTTGGCTTTACTGCTGTTTTCTAATGAAAAAACTAAAATATTGTCTGGCTTGATGTCTCTGTGTAAAATGCCTGCTTCGTGTAAATATGAAATACCTTCAGAAGCATCGACTAACAATTTAAGACGAAGTTTCATATCGATTTCACTTGATAATTTGTGGTTTATTAAGTCTTGAAGAGATCCATATTGAGCGAATTCGGTGACCATACACACTTTGTTTGGAATGAATACAGCACCATAGAAGTGAACTAAATAGTCACATCGGAACTTATCTAACATCTCCACTTCACCTCTAAACTCTTGCATTTTACTTTCACTATCACTCAGTTTCATCTTCTTAATTGCTACTTTGTTGCCTCTAAATTCACCTAAAAAGACTATCCCAAATGAACCTTCCCCAAGCTTTTTCTCTTCTTTTAATTCATGGTAATCAAGTCGCGTTGTCAATTTTGAAGTTGCAGTGAACTCAATTTTCTTTGTTTTTTGCACATCTTTTATATACGAATTTGTTACAATCAACATTTGCTCGAAAAGTGTTGTGGTGCATTCAACAGTCAGAAATATTTCAAATTCACACGCAAACCCACTTTCGAGTACAACTACATTTGGCTGTGTTTCAAGTGTGTATTTGTAATTGCCACTTTTGGTTGTAAGTTGCACTTTCATGTTATGTTTAGTACTGTTGCCAACACATAGAAGTTCTCGTATTTTAACACCAACATCCACACGTTCTTCATCTCCAAAATTGATTTCTTTTTTATCAACTTCAACACCGTCACCAAGGGATATAAATTTGATATTTGATAGTTTGATTTCAAACACACATTCAGTCTTTTCTTTTTCTTTTTGGTGGACCTTCTTTAAAATAAAGATGAACATTAATACACCACTGGTTACTATTAGTATTAGTATCGTTACTATAAATAAAACTATTATTAATATGACCCACCATACTGCTTTCTTAATACAGGAAGTGCCATTTTGACTTGGAGAATTCCAAAAAGTGCATTTGGAGCATTTCGAATTAGAAACAGCTCGACAATTTTGAATGGTAGTGAAATAAGAACAAACAGAGTTGATCAATATTTTGTCAGAGGAACATGTCAGACACACATTTAAAGTGTTACAAGTATTACAATTACTGTCACACTTTTGACATTGATTTGAGTCAATTTGGTAATACCCATCTTTACACTTTGAACACCCACTTTCTGTCACTTCAACATCACAACTCTCTGATAAAAGTGAACGGGGAAGACAATTTCCCGAAGTCGTTTTAAAGTTTGTTGAATTGCACTTGAGACATTTTGTTGGTGAAGAAATACAAGAAGAGCATGAGATGTCACAATTAAAGCAGTCCAACCCATTTTTGTAATATCCATCTGAACATTCACTGCACCCTCCTGTTGTAACAAATTTGTTACATTTTCCAATTAAATTTTCATTTGATTTGCATTCGTGTTTTGAGAGAAATTTGCCTTCAGCACATGTCAAACAATATGAAGAAGAATAACAAGTTTGACACAAAGAAGTGTTACACTTCGTACATGTCTTATTTGACTCTAAATAATACCCATCTACACATCTCACACATCCAAAGTGGTTTATTGTTTCACAATTTGAAGTAAAATTGATGTCATTTAAAGGTACGCAGTTATTAGTCGAATCCAAATAATAATCATCTGCACATTCTATACATTGAGAATTTAAATATTTTTTACAATTGGGTATGATTGATGAACATAAATTATTTTCTTCTTTCATTTCATCCTCATTGCATTGATTAGTAATACATTTATTTTCATTTACATTGATATAATAATTTGCTTCACATTGTGTTACTTTCACTTTGTCACAATTTAAGAATTGATTTACGTTATCTGAACAATTGTAACAAATACCATTGTCTATATATAAACTATTATTACATGAAGTCATTTCAATGTTATTTGTTATTCCTTCTCCTGAATTAATACAAGTCCCATTGACCAATATTGTATTTGTGTCACATATTATACACTTGTTTTCTATAGTTCCATCGCAGTGAATACAATGGGAGGAACAAACATCACACTCTCCGTATATAACACCAGATGTGCATTTTCTACAAAAATTGCCATCTGTGATTTGACAATTTGATTGTTTTTGGACACAAACTCCATTCTTTAAAATGTACTCCTTTGAACATTTAAAGCAATTGTTGTAATACCCATATTCACAAGAAGTAGAAGCTTCACAAATTCCACTTGTATTCAATACAGAATTTTTAGCACAAGCAACACATCGTCCATTGTGGTTGTATTCAACACAATTATTTATTTGACAAACATTATTAAATGAATTTCTTTTATCTTCACACGACAAACATTTTTTCAAAGTTGAACTGATTTTATAAAGTGTACATCCAGTAATATTCAATTGAGTTGAGTTCAATACAGAATTGGTATGAAAGTAAGAGTACCCAAGATATGATGTATAAATAATTGAATCAACAGTTCTTATTGTATCTGATAAAAATAACAATCGATTTGTTGGTACTGTAAGAGTTGATAATCTCTTACCACAACTCAATTGGAGCACATTTTCAGAACTCGTGATTTTAAGTGAATATTCCATATTTTCGTTACAAAACAACGTTTTAGAAGTCGAGTTATATTTCAGATAAACTAAATTGGAGTCGATGTTCTGTGTTGATTCAACAAATGTTAATGTTCCATATGATTGTATTGTCACCACTGACATTATTAAACTTCCAGTGACTTTTACATTTTGATTTAAATTAATTCTTTTAATAGTACCTCCATTCTCAAATATCATATCTTTGTCAATAAACACGTTTGCATATTCAATTGAATACTTTTGTAAATCAACTGTAGATAATGTGGTTGAAAAGTTTAAATGACATATGGTGACATTATCATCACATGGACAATGGGGATAGTCAAATGGGTAGTCTTCTATGTCATTTTTAACATTAAAGTACTTTTGGTATTTAGAAGACTTCATTGTACATGTAACATTATTGTTTGTTTTTCCAGTTGGGCAGAACCTGATCAGTCTCTGATTGGAAATAAGATAAGCAGTACCAGCACTAAATTTGAGGGGAAAATGCGAAGAATTGTAATTACCCCAACCATAAATTGACATCAAAATATTTGGGGAGTTCAATGAAATAACATCAAAACATGTCGTTTTACCATCTGGATTAGTAATATAAAAATTTTTGTTATAAATAAAATTGTAATTTAAGTGAAAATATGACGATTTCCAAACTAAAACTTTTGGTTTGTCGATTGCAGCTCCTTTTTCTGCAAACACGTTTGCAATTGAAAAGTTTGAATTAATTATTAAAGTTCCATTGTAAATAAATAATGTGTTGTTTGAATGAATAAAAGTTGATGCTGTAACAGTGGCCCCATCTCTGACATAAAAATACTCAATGTTTACATAAGCCACATTTGTCTTATATATTGAGCTCAGTGTCAACGAATTGTTAAACTCAAATTTGCTAAAATAAGCCTGTTGTTTAAAAGGGAAATACATGTCTTGTTTAAAAAAGTAATTATGATAATTAGTGTTTGAATAACAAAGTGTGTTGTTAATGTCAGCGTTATCAACATCAGTAAATCCATCGTACCATTTTGTTCCTTTGGCGTAGCACAACTCAACATCTATTGCATGAACTTGCCCTAAAAAATACAAAGCGACAATCACTGCATTCATGAATACTTAAAAATATTGTTAGTTCAAAGTTTTTATTGATCCAAATCATGTTATTGAATTGTATTTATTTCATTTTTATTTCAATGTTTTGGTTTTTTTTGAATCTTGACATTTATTATTTCATGTTTATTAAAACGCATTTTTAGTCTTATTCTTGTTTAAGTAGCAAATAAAAAGTGAAGTATATTAACAAACGCCTCATGTTTTTCGAAAACAATAAGTTGGTAATGACATTTCATTTGATCCAAAATTAATTTTGAATTGATTTAATATTTTAATCTTTTTGTTTTAATACCACAACCCTAAAAATTTATGAAAGAAACTCTGTTCAATTTCACTAAAAATTTTAAAAATAAGAATTAGATACTTTACTCGTTAGTGATTTTTTAACGTTAAATTATAGTTGAAAAATTCAGTCTTATTTCCAAGAGTAAAACAGAAGAAATAATCCAATTTTTTTGAACAGTAAAATTAAAAGAACCAAAAAATTACAACTGAACAGATTTACTGGAAATATATTGGGAATTTTGAACAATAAAATCACATTTATTTACTTGTTAAATGGTTTTTTTCAAGACTCATAAAAAATGCATATAGTCGACAGATTTATTCCGTAAACAACACCAAAAACAGACAAAACAATTAAAAAACACTTTTTAAAAACATTTTAACCCTACATGCCTTTTTATTCTGTTTAATACCAACAGAACTTTTCGTCACATGAAACGCGAACTTCGACTTTTGGACAGGGCACTGATAAAAGCAGTTTTCCTCACATGTGAATTTCGTTGGGGGTATAACGAGGTTGATCAACTTTTGGCACCCATAAAACGCGTTTTTACCAACCGACTCGACTTGTTCGGGTAACTTGACATAACTTAGACTGGTGCAATGACTAAACGCTTCATTTGAGATTCGTTGGATCTTATTTCCTAACGTGACTGCTATCAAGTCTTCACATCTTTGGAAACAAGCTTTTCCAATAGTTTCACACGTCTCTGGTACTTCACAGAAAACGACTCCACACTCTTCAAAGGCACTGTCCCCGATCTTTATAACACTCTTTGGAACTCTGAAGTTACGAAGGTTACTACACTTCCGAAAACTCGACACACCAATTCTCAATAAAAACTCGCTCGAAACAACTTCTTTCAGTCCAAAACAATTCTCAAAACACCCACGTGGGATCTTTGAAACACTTTTTAAGTCGATTTTGGACAGCATAAAACACCCCGCAAAACACCGTTGCCCAATCACTGAGAAGTCTCTGGCAAACTCCACAGACCTTAAGGAACTACACTGGTAAAACGCGTGATACCCAACACACACAACTCCACGTCCTGTGAACGACTCAAGCCGCCCACACGATTTAAAACAACTTTTTCCAATATAAGAAACACTTTTTGGGACTTTGATCTCTGTTAAGTAACTGCAGTTGACAAAGGCGAAGTCGCCAAGTGAGACAATTTGACTTGGAATTTCAATTTTCGTTAATTCGGCGTCGGCGAAGCACCCATTTCCTATAAAGAGAACGTTGTCACTCTCTGGAATGGTGTAGTTCAACGCACGTCTGTCTGAAGCAAGAAACTCGACAACTTTGCATTGAGTGTTACCATTCAGAAAGAGCTTAGAGAGGGTGTAACACACTTTGTGATCGAATTGGTTGTTTTTGGTGTATAGAGAAGTAATGGAAGAACACCCCTCGAACGTCCTTGGATCGATTGAAGAGACAGTACTTGGGATATAGAGACTTGTATGTGTCGAAGTCTGAAATGCGAATGGGGAGATCCGATGTGTGCCTTCTGGGATGGCATTTCCAAGTGTTTTAAAGTCACTTTGTGTGAACTCGACGGTCAAATATGTTGTGAGAAAAGGGGAAGGAAGAGACGTCGAGTGCACTGGGAGATGAATCACTCTTCTCTGAGTGTCTACGTCATCTGGATGTTTCAAATCATTTGCTTGAATTAATGACATCGAGCGTTCTGTATACACATGCAAAGTTTCAAGCTTCTTGAAAAGGGATGGGAAGTCGATTGGGTTATAATGTAGTTTGTCAAGAGTCTCTGAGTACTTTTTACAGACTTGAATGACATTTAAATAGTCGGAAGGCGTTTTGAAATATGTGGAAACAATGAGCAAAGAATACCCATCGAGGTGGTGAACCATATTTATTATAATTGAAATTATTAGTTGGTTTTGTTATTGAGGAAGAAACGTTCTAGGCATTTTTTTGGGGATTGAGTTGAATAATAAGGTAATTCAATAGGAGAAGTTAAATGAACGAAAGTTAACCATTTGGGAAAAGAGTGTCAATGTTTTAAATTAAAAAGAAACACACTTTGATGATAAAAGATAATTATTGAGAGGATAGAAAGAATTGTTTTAATTACTTGTAATGGTTTGTTTTTCATTCTTTGACTCATTGTTGGGCTTCAACAATTAAGTTTTAAGATAATATGGTCACTCGACCTTATGCAAGATTATTATAAATAATTTTTAATTAATAAAAACCAATTTTATAATTCACAATAAAAAAAGTGTATGGTGTTTTTGGTTAGTCATAAATTAACAATAATATAGTTTAGACTAATTAAAATATACAACGATAATTCTGGCATAAGGTCGAGTGACCATAGTGTTACAGTATTGAATTAAAGAATATTGATATATATTATTAATATTATTGTAAAAAGTTTATTATCAAAAAAGTAAAACAAAATGTTTTGATTTAAAATTAGATTGTAAAAACAAAACTTAAAAATTACAAAAGTCAAAAAATGAACTACTAAGTTGTATTATTCAATTAATTTTAAATATGGTTAATAATTTATTTAAAAAATTATAGTTTAGTTATGTATTATTATTAGTAAAATTTTCGAATTTTATTTAATAATACATTTATTTATATTAATAAAAATAATAAATAATAATATAATAACATAATAACATAATAACATATAATTATATTATCATTAAAAAAAATATTTCGAAATTCTATTTCCAAAAAAAAACAATTAAAAAATAAAAAACAATAAAACAATAAAATTGATAAATTAATGGTTTAGCTTAAAGTTACATTAATTAAATGGGTGATGGTCTTTGAGTACCATGATTTTCAAAAAAGACTGTTGAGAAATTTTAATCAATGGTGTTATGTTTACAAGTTTTCGATTTAAGAGTGTTTTTTTTCAAAGTGAATCAAAAATACTCGAAAACGTCTATCAAAAAAGATGTAACCTTTTTGGAGACAATTTGTTTTGGGGTGCTTGGATTTGACATACATTAAAATATTAACAACGATTTTTAAATTTATGTACATGATGTTCCAAAGTTATGAAATTGTGAAGATGAAAATTTTGAAAATAACAAAACAGTTGAAATGACTTTCATCGCTCTAATTTAAGTCTATAATACATTGCAATAAAATTACTAAAATGGATATTCAAAGTTTAGTTGTAAATAACAAGTTCAACACATTTATCAATGTACTTATTTGAAAAATATGCCAATATTAAATAGTGCAACCTTTTTTAAACACGCTTTTGCATGAGTTCCACATTAACTCACGTTGTGTCGTATTAAAAATACAATAAAAATATAGACTATACTAAAAATGAAAATTGTAAAAAGATAAAACCCTTATTTTCTCAAATTTAATTTACATTTTTAACTGCGATAATATAATTCAAGAATATGACACCTTTTTTGTCGCAAAACCCAAAGTGTAGTTTTTTTTTCTAATCTATTATTATATCATCAAAATAAACTATATCAATACATTGAAACCAATAACAAACTATTATAATATAGTTTTTCAAATATACTATACCATACTACTATAATATAATATAACAAATTTGTTAAAATAATATAAATAAACTTGTTTTCCAGTGATGGAACACATCGACCTTCCACTCAATGACACAAAATACAACGTTGATCAAATAATACAATTACTTAACAACTCGACAGTATTTTCAGAATCGAGTGTGTTGTCTTTAATTGAAAAATCTCGTGACATATTATCAAAAGAGCCCAATACTATTGTTGTGAAGAATTATAAGAAGTGTTGTGTATTTGGTGACATTCATGGGAACTATCGTGGACTTATTAAACAATTAACAAACAAGTTTGTTCTTTTAAACAAATAGAATTTTTATTATACAATAAATGATTAGAACAGACTTAAAACAAGAGATGTGGTCGACTGCGACTTAAACGTCTTTCTTGGTGATTACGTCGATCGAGGGAACAACTCAATTAACGTTTTAATCACTCTTTTGTGTCTTAAAGTGAACCACCCAGACACTTTTATATTACTTAGAGGTAACCACGAGGAACGATTAGTTACTTCCATGTATGGATTTCGGGAGGAATGTAGCCGAGTATATAGTGAAGACTTTTATGACAAGTGTTGCGAGCTGTTTTGTGCGTTTCCGATTTGTGCCGTCATCTCGACAAAGAAGTACAAATACTTTTTGGTACATGCTGGCATCTCTCCACTTATCAAGAGTCTTCAGGACGTCGATGAAATCGATCGATTTACTGATGTTTGTGAAGACGAAGACAATTTCACTGATGACGCCTTTGCAGACTTGTTGTGGTCAGACCCGATACCAAGAAGTTATTTATCTGACGACTGGAAGGACAAAAAGTTCATGAACAACAGAGAGAGGGCGTGTTCGGTGTATTATGGGTATGCCGCTCTCAACGAGTTTTTGGAGAAGAATGGATTGAGAAGCATCATAAGAGGACACCAAGCCGTTTCGGAAGGGTTCGCTTTGACTAAACTTGGCGATGAAAAGAGAGAAGAGCCTATGGTGTATACTGTTTTTGGTGCACAGGGGTATTACAAAGAGTCTGATAAAGCCGCTGTGTTAATTATGGATTATGAAACGAGTGAATTGAATCATGTTGTATTCGGGAAAGAATAAAATGGCGTCTGCTAATATCTTAGGTGAATTTATTGGATTTGTGAGGTTATTTTTGTGTGACATTTTGGCGTAAACAAACATTAAAAATAACAAGAAAAATATCATTTTTAAAACTGTCCACTTATTTTGGTAATTTAAGTCGTAAATTAGAGATAAAATAGAGTGATTTATGAACGATGATACACTTTTGAATATTTCTCAATGCTTTTAATAATGACTAGAATTAAGAAAATTAAAAATAGAATAGAAATATACAATTCGGAACTATCGCAGCATTATTAAGTTTGTATCAAAAATAGTAAATCTTCGCAAAGGTGTTTCTATTCAGCTTTGCAGATTAAAAGAAGTGGACATTGACGTTTTTCTCCGAAAGAAGTTAATTGTAAACAACCAAATGACAAGTAAATAAAAATAAATATCCTCGTTATCCAACAAATCTGGTAATGTTTGGTCCAACTTTAAACCCTCAAAAAATCACATAAAAACCTCAAAAAGAATTAAAAAAACACAGATGAGCGACCACAAAACAATTGAATTTGAACTCAACAATGGATTAAAAATTCCAGCGATTGCTTTAGGGACTTGGCTCTCAGAGAAAGATCTTGTTGGGAATGCTGTATTGACAGCATTGAACCATGGATATCGCCACATCGACTGTGCTAAATGTTATGAGAATGAGGAAGAAATCGGGACCATCGCTTTTGGCCCATTCTTTAAAGAAGGCAAAGTTAAAAGAAGTGACGTTTGGATCACATCAAAGCTTTGGCTTGATTCAAAGAGAAAGGACCAAGTGATTCCCGCTTGCAAAGAATCACTTAGAAAATTGCAATTAGACTATTTGGACTTGTACCTCATTCATTGGCCCGTCTCAATTAAGGTCGGTGCGACCTTCCCAATGAAGAAAGACGACTTCATTGAAGTTCCAATAGAAGAGACTTGGAGAGAAATGGAGAAACTCGTTGAGATGGGATTAGTCAAGTCAATTGGTGTGTCGAACTTCACTATCCCTCAATTAGAGAAGTTACTGAGTATCGCTAAGATTAAGCCGGCCGTCAACCAAGTCGAATTTGGAGTCTTCTTACAACAACCAAAGCTGATGGAATACTGCAAAGAACATAACATCCATGTCACCGGTTACTCTCCACTTGGAAATAACGGAAATGCAGGAAGAAATAAAGTCGACAATGTTCTTGAAGTGCCTTTGTTGAAAGAAATTGCTCAGAAACACGAGAAAACAGTCGCACAAGTTATTTTGAGATTTATTGTCCAATCGGGACATTCAACTTTACCCAAATCAGTTCATGCTGAAAGAATCATTCAAAACTTTAACATCTTCGACTTTGCTTTGTCTGATGAGGAAATGGAGAAAATAAGAAAGCTCGATAGATATGAAAGAACATGTGATGGGTCCTTCTTCTATGAAGTCCAGGGAATAGACAAAGACGTTTTCTGGGGGATTAAATAAACTCTAACTTTTTTTCTTCATCTTTTTGTTGGATTTTTTGGTCGAAACCAATTCACAGTTTTTGTTCACTTTTAAAAATGTGAAGCACTGAAAAAAGACGGGAACAACATTCACAAGCGAACGATTTTTGTTTTTTGGTGTGACAAGTTTTTGGTTGTTATAAAATTTTTTTGTGTGCCAATTGAAGTTAAAATAAACAACAATAAGAAATACCACCAATGAGTTAATTAAATAAGAACCCATACAGTTCATCTAGATCTATGATGCCATCATCATTGTCATCATAAGCCTGAAAAGCTAAATCTCTTTGTCTCTTTGGTACATCAGTCAAAATTTTGACGAATTCTGCTTTTTCAATAGTTCCACTGTGATCGGTATCAATCAAGTCGAAAAGGATGTGTGTGAATACTCTTTTTCGGTCTTTTTCCCATTTGGCTTTATCTGGAAAGACCTTCAAAACTTTGGCAAATTCTTCTTTGGTAAGTTGTTGTGTATCGTTTTTCCCAAAATCGGGATCTTCCTTGATCAAATGCGTGATGAGTCCACCACACCATTCGGGGTCTCTCAATTCTTTCTGGTCCAACTCTATCATTTCTAACACACCTTCAATAAGTTCAAGTGGACTTATAAGGTTGTCGTGGTTTTTGTCGAACTTCTTGAACTGAGCGTCAATTTCTTTTTCCATTGTATATTTAAAGTTTTTTAACATGCTTAAATATATTTTTTCTACTCAAATGTACTGTGTAATAATCGGGGTTTAACTAAAATGAAACTTGTTATTACTTATTCATTTATTTAACTGGTAGTTTTAATATCATTTATTGTAACAAGAACAACTTGCTTTCCAGATAACTACTCCAATTTATTAAGTTCTTTCTTTTATTTTGAATAAATCTTAAAACTGTCGCAAAGTGTCCAATAGATTATGTTGTATTTAATTATTTTGTAAGATAGTAATTAAATGGAACAACTAAAAAATGAATGTGTTTATTACTACTTCATTTTATTTTGAGATTTCAAGGAATTCACTCAGCACTTTGGTTTTAGTTACAAGAAGGTGGTATATTGTTATGTATTATATCATAAATAAAGACAACTATAATCAATTTTTTATCTTTAAAACTCAATTTACATTTAACACCATGTATTAATTATTTAAAAACAATTGTTTAAATGATGATGATGTTAAAGAAACGTTTTTAAAATGGTGTTTAGTTGTGTAGTATTATAAATATTGAATAGCACTTTAAAACAATAAAATTTTTTTATTTTGTTCAATAATTAAAATTCGATTAAATACAAGTTTATTATGATAAGAGCTCTTGTTACGATTATAATAATCAGCTTTAATTTTGTGCCATTTCAGATAATATCAATCACCAAATATATATGATAATAACATCAATTATAATCACCATTTAACTATTAACTGACCTTTACAAGAGAAATTCAACTAAAAATTTAACAAAATATTATAAAAATAATAATAATTGTTACAATAACAATATTTTTTTATATTTTAATCAAATATTTGTTATTGACAATAATTTAATCAAACTATTAATAATTATATTTAAAAATAGATAACATGAGTATATAAATAGAATTAATAGGGTTTTATTATAATAAAGGTTGAGTCAAAATTGTCCCGAAAAAACATTAACATTTTTTTAATTAATAAGTGAAAGTACTTATTCAAAGTAACAATAATTCAATTTTATAGGTTAAAACAAAGTATTTTGAAATGCTTTCAACAAGAGAATAATTTCTTGTATTCGAAAGATTTGTAATTATTTATACAAATGATATTGTTTTTGATTTGTTTTTATACAGAATTACAACACTGTTTCATATCCAAATAACAATCGTTATTAGTATTTTTCTTGTAATATTTCTTTTAATAAATAACGTACGAAATAACAAGAGCAATCGTTACCCATTTTCGTTATAAACTTGCGTTGTATTACATTCACATACTTTAAAAACTCTTTCAAAAGAACGGAGAATATATAAGAATCAAAATGGATGTTGGCACTCAAATTAAGGTTTCTGCATTTGCCATTCTCAAATTGGTCTTTATTGCTTTTATAGGTTTTGTTGGTGCGAGGTGGTGCGGATTTAACTCAATTGTACGTGCCGGATGGTCCAAAATGATTTTTACCTTTTTTCTCCCTGCAACTGTATTCTACCAAACTGCGACGGCAATCAACGAACTCAGTGAATTGAAGGAGTTATGGATATGCCCAGTCGCTTGTGCAATTCATATTGTGTTTCAATTTCTTGGCTGCATTTTAGTTGGTAAAATTCTTCGAATTCCAACACTTGAAAACCGGGTATTTTCCTTCACTTTGGGCTTTGCTAATATTTTTTACATTCCAATGGCTATTACTGAATCGTTTATAGGAGAGAGTGACATTCTTGGTGAAGGTGCCAAAGAAAAAGCTTTTTCATATATTTGTACATATCAACTGAGTTATATGGTAGGGTTCTTTATAATTGGATATAATTACATCAACCTCAATGTCCGAGACTTGAAGAAAAAAGAAGAAGAATTAAACAATGAAATAGGTGTTGAAATGGAGAATGAAGGAGTCAATGAAATACACCCAGAAAACATTTCATTTGAAGAAAAACGTGGAAGTCGGGAAAGTGTTGAACAAATTGAAGAAAATAACAAAAGTGAATTAAAAGAGGACATTCATATTGATATCGAAAAGATTAAGGATATCACAAAAACAATTGATAAGAAGGAAGAAGTTCCAAATCCACTTTTGGAGTACCAAGTCAAACCCATTCACTACGAAGAGGAAGATGAAGGTATTGATGATGATGATATATTAGTCGATGACGAAATATCTTCTGATGAATTGGAAGAAGAACAAGAAAACGAAACTACTACACAAAATGTAAGTCAAAATGGATCAATAAAAATGGATGAGGTTCGCGATAAAACACCTTCTATTCCTTCGCGCGATATTTCAGTTAATTCCCCTGAAATTATAAAATCAAAAGAAGATGTGACATCACAAGAGAAAGCAACAAAGACGAGAAAAATAAATTCCTTT